TGTGCAAAAGAAATTCATTTATTTCATATAATCAGTGGCGGATTTGAACATTTGTCACCCCTAGGTAATTCAGAATATGGCGTCCTTTTTCCGATAAGAAAAATGTTTTGAGGTAAAACTACCAGTTTTGGAACGATTAGTAGTAAACAGTAATATTCAAATTTATGTTATTTACTATACTTTTATTACAATTTAAGATAAAAAAATTGTATTTGCCTTGAGTAAAGGCAAACTTTTTCCACTTGATAAGTTATAATCTCAAAAATACTAAATTCGTATTTTTAAATATTATCATTTAAATAATATCAAACATACCTAACATTGTTGTCCTATTTTCTGATTGCGTAATTGAATCTCAAATTTATATTTTAAAATGTGCAAACACAAATTCTCTTTCAGTGCAGCTAACTTCAAAAAAAAAACATTTTTTTTCAACTCAAAATTTGCCGCCCTATGCACCTACCTATGTTGTCTTTACGGTAAATCCGCCACTGCATATAATGCATGTAAGTATATATGTATGTGAGCAGAAGGCATGTCCCTCCGAACTCTAAAGGGTGAAAACGTTTGAATAATTCTTTCCTCATTTTTATTTGCTTAATTTATTTTGTAAGCAATTTTCAAGACAACAAGGCCGTATGCATAAAAATTAAGCAATTGCTTTTTCTCAAAATTTCATACCTCTCACTTAAATTTATTTGAACAAATCGAGTAAAAGGTTTGAAATTTTAAGAAAAAACAAGTGGTTGATATTTTATTCACAAGGGTCAATGTGCTGGCTTCCAACATAAGATAGCATCCAATTTTATTATTTTGACATTGGATTCAAATACAGTCTAATAAAAATGATCTTTTCATAGTTTTTTTTTTGTTCACGTAATATGAATAAAAATTGAACTTCAGAACGTGTGGGATCGGGATGGAATATTTAATACCGCACCCAAATCTACTACATACCCCCTTAAGTGTGACAAAAAATTATCCGATTACAAAATAACTCGACTGCCATATACACAGAAGGTCCTAAACTAGATCTTAGGGTGAGGATCCGGATACTTTGGAGGGATCTCCCAATAAATGTTTGTTTTGGGCTGTCAAATAATTGCAACGTTTTACTACCGGAACTAGCAGCTATAAAAGAGGCTTACTCATCGACTCTTTTCTTAACATGCCTTCGGCAAAAATCGACTCTGTGGCAAACAGTTATTAGGCCACTAGACTGCCGCGAAATCCTGTCGATTGAAGCGATGTAATGCACACAAGTCCTTAACAACGTACCTACTGAATTTGCCACCCACATAGTGTAGGTATTTCATGATCGACAGAGCCCTCTTGTCATAATTTGGCCCAGTTTCGATAAGAAAAGGTCTGGCTCACATATTCGCCTACAACGTTCACTACCACTGGAAGTGGCCTAAATTATAACAGCAAAGGCCTGCCGGCCAGTGACTTTTGTCACAACTACCATAATGAGAGAGAAATTGAAAGCATAGAGCACTATTTTAGTAACTACCTTATACCAAGAATGATAGAATACAAGATTGCGCCGATCAGAGAGGATTTTTGAGAATAACTTTTGTGTGACGTCACACTGGTGCAATTGCGAGAGAGAAATGCCAAAACGTGAGCAAGAATGGAAGAAGAAGAAAAAATGTTGCAAGGAAAACGTAAACAAGTTGCACCAGTGTGACGTCACGCAAACAACGATTCTGTCAAATTCGTTAAGAGAGGAATAGCGGTCCGAGATCGGCGCAACCTTTGTATTCTCTCAATCGTGACCTTATACTATCTCGGCAGAGAAGACGCTCATTCGGCCATTAGTTCTCTTACTGTCTGATGGACCTAAGCATGGAAGGCACTCATAAATTCTCGTGATTTATTTACGCACATAACCAAGTGGTGCCGTTTCAATTTTTAAAATGGTACCATGGCGGGTTCACTGGCCCTGAGTGATTTTTGCACCATTGCTGGATGCAGGTAGTCAGTTAAAATTAACCTAACCTGTGGTTCTGATAACAAATGGTTTTTCGTACAATAGGGAAGAATTATTCCAAATTCTAGAGCCTTTTTTATGCGTGCGATAAGTTATAATAAAAGCGTTACTTAGAAAAGAGTCAGCTAAATATATTTCTTTCAACACAAGATTTGGTAACTATGTAACATAGTATATAGTTGTAGTAACTCAGCTCGTTTCTCAGTGTACTAGAGTTTTCTCAAAATGTCGGTAACTGCAATGAATCCAAGATATCCTTAACAAATGTGCGATTACGAATTTTAAATTAAAAAAATATGTATAAAAATTGTGCTGGAAATATCATCGAGTCAATGCGCTCGCGAGCAGTGGAACCACATTTCCCGGCGAAGAAGTAGTCGGATTTCAGCGAGACCGAAATAATAACTGATTCGATGAGGAGTGTCAAGAAAACACAGAGAAAAATATGTCGCCTACAGGGCCACGCTGCGACTGGGCGAAATGCTAGCCATGTGGGACTGTTATAGGGAACTGAAGAGGAAGCGAGGCGTATTTGCCGCAATAAGAAGAGACTGGTCGAAATACGTGAGTGCGAAGGCCAGCATAGCCAACAGAAAAACGGCCGAAAATTTTATCAGCGATTTATGCGAATTACAGAAGGTTTCACGACCAGAGCGAACTCCTGTATGAACAATGGCGACCGAGTGACCGATGTCCAGAACGTATTAAAATTACGTAGGGAACACTTTTCCACCCTATTGAATGGCAGCAGCACTGAAATTAGTAGAGAAAATGAACTCGAGCCCTGAGCCGATGACGATGGAGTCGGTGTCTCACCTATGGCTATGGTGAGGTACAAAATAACAAAGCTACTGGAGCTGACGGCCTGCCAGCTGAGCTATTCAAGTACGGCGGCGAGGAGCTGATGAGGTGCATGCATCAGCTCGTATGCAGAATATGGTCAGATGAACACATGCCCGACGACTAGAATTTAAGTGTGCTCTGCCCAATCCACAAGAAAGGCGACCCCGCCATACGCGCCTACTACCGCGGGATCAGCCTTCTAAGCATAGGTTACAAGGCCTTATCGAGTGTATTGTGTATAAGACTGAAGCCCACCGTCAACGAACTGATTAGGCCTTATCAATGTGGCTTTAGACCTGGCAAATCCACCATAGATCCCAATACGCCAAATCTTGGAAAAGACCCGCAAGAATAGGATCGACACACACCACCTATTTGTCGATTTCAAAGCCGCCTTCGACAGCACGAAGAGAAGTTGCCTTATTGCTGCGATGTCTGAATTTGGTATTCCCGAGAAGCTAATACAGCTGTGTGAAATGACGTTTAGTAATACCAGAACTGGGAAGGACCTCTCCGTGACGTTTGACACCAAACGAGAATTCAGACTAAGTGACCCCCTTCCGTGTGATTTCTTTAATCTGAAGTTGGAGAAGATAATAACAGCCACAGAATTGAACCGCTTAGGAACAATTTACTACAAAAGCGTACACTTGCTGGCGTATGCCGATGACATCGCCACTATCGGTAAAAGTAAGGGCTACTTCTGCTCTGCCTTCGCGGAATCAGATGGAGAAGCAAAGCGAATGGGTTTGGTGGTGAACAAGGACGAAACGAAGTCTCTCCTGTTATCACATAAACAGTGAGAGCATAAGCTTCTTGAAACCCACGGTTACAGCACCAATAAAGAAGAAGAAGACAATGTGCTTGCTATAAATATGTATGTACATAATTATTCTATCCATTCTATTGGTTTCGTCCTTATGAGTAACAATTCATTATTTTCTAAGGCATATTATACTTAAAAGCTCTCCTATGGAAACAAGATTTGTGATTCTTTTTTCATTAAAATCGTCATATGTATGTATGTTATGTATCTTCATCATGTTTTTAGATTTCGAAAAAAAAAAAATCTAAGCTAATGCATGCATAAAACTCATCATCATCGTAGATACACAAGTTTGGCGGTTTCCTGAGATTTAACCAATGCTCTCCTACACTTAGTGTTATGTAAAATAGCGATTAAATACATAAAATAAGTAAAGGATATCCGAAATCCCTGTAAAAATAAGCAAATTACCTTAAAAACATTTGTTGGTGGAAACGGAAACGACTTATGGTCAGTTGGCATGTCAAAGGCAATTGTCGGAAAAAGTAGGCGAAAAATGCTAATTCAACGGTTACGCTTGTCGTCGTTGTGGTGCCACTCTTTAGAATGGTGGTAATACATATTGTAAGTAAGACAAAGGATACGCTAAAGTCAGCCCTTAAGCAAATTTTAGGCAGTTATTAAGCAAAGGTATTTTGTCAAGTTAAAATTAAGGAAAAGTGCAAGAGAAATAGAAGATGTAATTTTTTTTAAGAGTTAAATACAAAAAAAAAATAAATAAAATATCCTTGTAGCCCATTCAGTTTTAGTATAATAACCTGCGTGTTTGAAGTAGCTACGTAGATTCTATGTCGAGTTTCCACTAGGCAGTATAATGCCAAAAAAAAATATGCCTGTAAAAAAATGCCATGTGGAAACTGACATAATGGCCATGTGGTTTTTTT